GACTTCCATTTTTATGAGTTATTAGCAATTTTTTCCTCAGTAACAAAAGCGAGCTGTTTTCCTACATTTTTGTGTGTGTCTATATTTTTGATGTTTGTGTAAAACTACACTTTAGTAATTATCTTGTAGAAATCATCTTTGTTAAATATTGACTCATCTGAGATTTATGTACAATTCAAACTTTAAAGATTATCTTTTGCCTAGTCTAAATAAAAGCATAAAATTTAGTTTGAAAGGAAAAAATACCAATTTCTCTTAATACCTTGATAAGACTTTTACATATACTGTGGAGAATAGGTAATGTTCATGGAAGATACAAGAGCCATGATAAGTGATTTTGAGGGAGACCTACAAAAATTGGTAGAAAAAGTTGATACAATGGTTCTACTACATAGATTCAATTAAGAAAACTGGACTTTATATAAACCTCATTAGTCATTTTATATGAAATGATTTGATAAATAAAAGCAATGTTTTGTTACTTTTATCTTCTAGGGCATTGTAACGCTTAGGGAACGACTATAAGTAAACCTTCAAGTGACTTGTCTCTTGTAAGGAAGTTCTGGGTGCTGCTTTTGTGTGTGTGTCAAGAATTTAGGGGGACTCATGAGTGGGGGAAAAATGCCCTTTGAGCTTGCCTTACACTTACAAGAACAGACATCTTTAGAACAGACTGTGGGTTTTTAATACATTCTGGCTGAACCATAACATAGTCTCTTTCCCTCAGTGCTAAAGGGTAAGAACTAGATCGAAATGTTTGCTGGATTGTCCTTCCAACCAGTTAGTGTCAACCTACCCACAGGAGCAGCTCTCCTCTGTCCTTTAGGGATGCCGGGTCAGAATATGGATGGCAGGTAGCACACAGGACAATAGTCTTCGTTGAGAAAATGAGTAAAGTTCTATGTTGTTCCAGGTATTGTAAACTGATGCAAATAAGCCCAGTTTAGAAACTTAAAAACCTTTTATAAAATTCAATTTGAGTTTTGGAAATTTTCTCTTGTATTTTGTTAAATGATTGTTCAAATACTGGCTTTCTGTAAGAGCATGTTAGATTTAGACTATTTGTAGTGCCATATTAATAAAAAATTGTTTTGAGCAGTTTTGGTTACTACCTTAACCTGGTTTCTGCTATTCACTACTTGCTATTTGGGTTCCTAGTTGGTCATCTTTTGGTCTTAGCTCAGCCATCTGTGGACTATGAGAGATGACCAGGAGAGCATGTTGTTAAAATGAAAATGGAATGAGTGTATTACTTTCTAGCTCTGGTGGAACCGATGGCTGTGGGTGATTAGAAATTGGGCGGTTAACAGCAAGGTCAGCAGTTCAAACTCACCAGCCACTTCCATGGGAGAAAGAGAAGTCTGCTTGAAAACCTTATGTAAGGTAGTTAAGAAGTGGAACTGATAGCAGTAGGTTATATATGCTCACAAACAACTGGTTGTTGCTTTAAAGCAAGAGTGTAGTGGTGGCCTTGAGATGTTATGTAATTTCTAGTACTGTTTAAATGTGTGCCATATAGGCTGCTTAGCTGCTCTCAGAGCGGGAAGATACGCATTCTTCTCCATTAGAGTCCTAAACTCTTTGCTAAAAGTAGCCAAGGTATTGATAGTCTTAATGCCAAAGATGGCTTACTTTAAGAGTACAAATTTGAACTTAGTGATAGTGTTCCTTTAACACACAGGTTGCAAAGCTGCTTGCTATTTCTAGTAGTCCTGATTTTTTTGCACTTTCAATTCTTGATATTAAACAATTCTTAGATAACTTCACATTTATGTTAACTTGTTGTAAGAATGAAACCAAATAAAGTTTCTTTGGATGTTGGGCTTTTTTACTTCATATCTTACTTCTAGTTGCTGTGGAGGTGGCCCAATTGCTGGCGCCTCCATAGGGTTTTCAGTGGCCAAGGTACCTTGAGTGGCTTCCCAGCTCGCAACTTTCTGCCTAGCAGTTATGTGTTAGCTGTTAGTGCTGCCTGGGGATACCCCCGCTGTAATGGGAAGCAACACAGGTTTCATATTTACATGTTGTACAGAAGAACAGCTTTACTGTTAATACATCATGGCATTAGAAATATTTATTCAGAATATAAGAATGTTTGTAAAATATTATAAATGTCTCTGTATAAATAAATGGATTTTTAAAAAACAATTCTATATCCAATAACACAAAGTAGCTATTTTACAGCAGCTAAAAACTAAAGCCATCTGGAAACATTTAAAGCCATCCATACAAATGAATCTAAAAAAATTACAAGGTATATAGTACAGTGTTAAGTCGCAGCTTAAAACAAGCAGTTCAGTACAAACAAACAGTAGAACAATACTGACAAATGCAAAACTTAGTCAAATGTGCTTTAATAACTGACAGTACTTCAAGCTGGTTTTTCTAATTCAAGTGGTATAAAAGAAACACATTTTCAAATAATAGGAAATCTAATCTCATGCAAAGTAAATAAACCCTGACAAAGTGTCTAACAACTGATTAGAGCTCGAAATAAAGCTAACATGTTTTACCATCTTTGCATTAGATTCAAATAAAAGCAGATCGGGGGCCCTCCTTCACTTGGCAGCCCTTCCATGAGCACTGTTACGTGGGTATTATGAGTTCTACAAACTGAACATTCTTCCATATGGGTTGGATTTGGGAAAAAGTGCAGAAGTAGATAGAGCAAAAATTATTCAGCTAAGCCAGAGCACCAGTGCTCGTTTAGGGCCATTTTGGAGGAGCTTGCTCTGCCGATAGGCTTATGGTTATCCAACAGGTACATGTAAATATGAGTATGTGGGTGCAGGCACAGGTATTCGTTGAAAATGCATTATGTATCTCCTTAGACAAACACTTCCAACACTGGATTAACGATTGTACTGTTAAAGGGATGATGATTTTTCTTTCATATGCAATGTGGCAAGAATTTATCTATTAGAAATCCTCACCAAGGATGTGTAATGGTCTGTGAACCATCTTCCGCTGTACTGTGTAAGCACACATAGGCATGAAGAGTTGCTCTTCAAAGTGCATCCTTTTCTGCTTGCTTATAGTTTAAGAGCCACTGCTGGCCCAGTGGTGCTCTGTTTGGTGCCAGCAGCCAGCATTAATTATATTGGTATTTCTGGTTCTAATTCTAAAGTCAAGCACTTGGCAGCCAAGGCATCTCTTTTAGTGAAGTGTGTGAAATAGATGCAGAGTTAACCATCAGATCTATATAAACACAGTTTCGATTAACCTAGGGTAGGATTTGGATTAACCTCCAAAAAAACAAACAAACTGCAGCAAAGGCATCCTTTTCATTCTGTAAAGCTATACCTGTTCTACAAGACAGTTCCCAGCTTCCTTCTGGACGTGCGAGATCAGCAAGCCTCGTTAAAAGGTGATGACTCTAGCATTTCTAATTAAACAGAAAATCAGTTGCTGTGAATTTTTTCCAGAACATTTTATAGTGTTATTCTACAACACTGTCACTTACGCAGAAAAAAAAATTGACTTAACAGCCCCCTTTCCTCCAACCCCAAACAAAACTTGTGGCAACCCTATGGCAAGCTAATGGACATTCAAGTGCATAATTCTCAGAAATGTTTCCTCAGTCTGGATTCTTTGCAGCTATAGATCTGTCTGCTACCTCTCCTGTAGCTGTAAACTTACTCAACAGGATGTTTTTTCCTTTTCAATTCTTTGTAGACTGGCTGGGTCATACACTGACACATTTGAAAACAATAAACTCGTGGAGGGAATGCATTGACTGTTATTTCTGCAGTTTGGAGATTGCATCACTTCATTTAAAATCTGAGGATTAACCCTAGATTCTTCAGATTTAATTGATAGGATTGAAAAAAAATTGCATGGTAAGTTCTGGACACTAGAAGCTCTTCTGGAGTTAGGCCAATCACAGGCAGTCTGTGTACAGCTGGGAAACAGGAGCCTTTGAAAGAATTTCACGTTTCCCTCAATCCCTATCTAAGTGTTGTTAAGGAGGGAAAGCCCCATAGGCTCTAAGTCCGACAGCCTGTCAAGGCTCTTAATTTAGACTTTTCTAAGGTCCCTGTTAAGTACGGCTGCATGCTTAGAAGATATAGTAAGAAGTACGTGCATCTGAAAGGAGAATGGAACAATTATGTTTAACTCACACTTAATTTTTTATTAACCTAACATTCTAGTTTCAGGCAGCATGGATATTACCTTCAAAAACCTGACACACTAGCAGATGAGAATGAATGTTAAACAGTTAATTACCTCCACTGGCAAAGAAGTCTCTTTTGCCTGAACAAAAGTCTTTGTTGCCTCGGTCCACTTTGTTTGCTTCAATTGAGCACAATTGAACAGTGACAAAGCACTGCCAGGGACCCGTGAAATGGGTCCTTCTCTCGCCCCTTTTATCAGGAGCTACAGGCTGAACAGAGAAGGGGATTGCCGAAAGTGTAACCACTGGGAAAACTGGAAGACAATTAAAAATACAAAGACCCCAGATGTGTTATCTTCTACAAGTTAGAACCCAAACGACTTCGTACCCTTGAGGGGGACGTTCACTTGAACAGCTCCTGTCTGGAGAAAAACTCAGGCAGAGTCTAGCATCCTGGGGCCAGCACCTGCCATCATTTATGTAACTGCACTCTCGGGAGGCCTCAGAATGATGCATAACTAAGGGCTGGTTGGTTCACCTTTGACAAGAGTTGTGTATTAACAGGATTTGAAAAATACCAGGGAAGGAATAAACCATTAAAAAATCTTTTATTCTATATTGTTTATAAATGCAACACTTTTTGCCTGAAACATAGTTTTCACCCACTCGCCACGTATTTGAAAACATTAACTTGAAGTATAAACTCAAAATAAGGCCAGGTAGGATCAGTAATGGCCCCGGGGTCCAGGATGGCAGAACCTCTCGTCTAAAGTATAAGGGTGGGTTCTCTTATATAAGCCTTGTCAGCATTTTGCTTGGAATTTCATTGGTTTCAGGGTGAAAGGAGGCCTTCGCCACCATTCTAGAAAAGACTTATCAGGTTTGGTGGAGGATCAGCACAAACAAGGGCTATGACAATGGGCTCAAATGTTACCAGTGACAGCCAAGGGTGCATGAGGCATGGGTACTGTTTCATTCTGCTCTGCGTAAGGCTGTCACAGTGGCTGACTCGATGGCAGCCAACCTCCACCCCTCCCCCTCACCGGCTGCCCCTCCATGCTGCAGGGAGCAGTGGGGTCAGTAGCAGTCTTTTCAAACGAGCAGCCTTGGGACAGCCTCTGGCTCTTGGAGACAAGTTCAGAATGACATATATCCACATGTGGATGAGTTTTGATTCCTACAAAACAGCAATTATGTCGTGCTCTGGACTAGAGAGAAAAGTACTTTAAAAATGGTTCCCTGCTCTCGAGGAAACTCCTGATAAATTTGTAGTTCCACTGTACTTGTCATTAACATTCTCACCTCTAATTCTTGGCTCCACTGGGCAAGGGAATGTCAGTCACGAGTTCCCATTGTATCCTTTGCCCCCAGTGTGAAAGGCAGAGGGAGACTCCATTCTCTCAGTACAGAACTGGTCCAGCACAGGCTTGTACTACTTAAACTTTAGGATATAAGTTTAATATAAGACCGATACATTACCTTCTTGTGACCTGAAACCACAACAGAACCATGTTTGAGACATGGGTCTCGGAAACCAAAGCCTTGTTGCAGTCTCCAACCAGCAGCTCTGCTAGAGGCTAACCTGTCAGTTTTCACTGAAGGAACAAAGAGGAGAATTTTGGGGAACCAGAAGCTAAACCCGTTGTCTACCAAAAAGAGAAATAGAAAATGGAAAATCATATAAGTAAATGGCTGGAATTTCACAGCTGAACAACCTCGAGCTCACAAAAGGCAGGAGACGAGAAGCAAGTGCTGAAAGGAGAAGCCGGGTACTACTGCTGAGCACAACATGTATGTACATGCCATCTGTGGGCCTGGGAGGGAGGAGCAGCACCCCACCCGTCTGGATACAGTCCACCCAAGAGTCCCCGGGGCTGCCCAGCCTCGGGCTGAGCTGACCTACCTGCCCAGCTTCCCTGTTCTGATTCTCCCAAACAGGTACTCTGCCCCAAAGACCCTCCTTCCCCTGGTGGCCTGCTACAGCTTGGCTTCTGCAGGCATAACGTTGGTGCTGGAAAGGCTGTTAGAGTGAAGTTTCATTGGTGTGTGGCCGTGAGTTCTCCTCCTCTAGGAGAGCTATTCTTTGTTTGAGCATCCTCACTTGGGTCTCGTGCCTTTCCACCATGGCCATCATCTGGGATTCCAGCTTCTTCAATTTATTTTGATGCTTCTTCTTTGCTTTCTCATAGGCAGCCACAAGGTTGCTGTATGGGAGTGGGGGAAATGAGAATGAAGAGCATTAAGACATAGCCTGTCCCATTTGATAACCAGGATTATATTAAACCACTCAAATGCTTCCTGAAAAACCTAAAATCAGGCGATTAGAGGCAGCACAGAACCAGTATTTCAGCCCTCATGGCCACTCATCTATTTGTCATAACCATTATTGCTTCAACTCAACTGTTCAGGATTTGTCACTTAACACCTTAGGAAGGGGTTTGCACGAGTTAAAATCAACTAGCCAAACCCAGAATACATAAGCAGAAAAGTCAGCTGAATTATAAAAATCTTATTTAAATACAGATAAACTGTTCCATGGTTGCTTCCACAAGATGGTCAAGTTTAAGTTCCCGGGTGTCCATAGGCTTTCACATCTAGGTGGTCTCATCTAGGATGAGAACAGAGGTTTCCACTGCTTGGACTCCCCCTCAGTTTGGGGTAGTTCGAAGCATTTAATTAGGCCACTGGGAACAGACCCCCCATGAACTGTGGCATTGGGGAGGCAGAGGGTTGAGTGGGTAGGCCCATGTCAGGGTTAGTCCAGGGCTGAGGAAGGCCAGCTGCCTTTTCTGTTCCCGTATGATTCCCCTAGTTCCTTCCATGGACCCCTTTCACAGTGCTAAACGGGTGGCTCGAGGGCTTCTCCAAGGTTCATCTGGGGATCTTCGAGGCCCTTTATGTTTCAGCCGTGTATCTGCGAGGCTGGGTTTTCCTGAGTGCTTCAAACAAAACAGTACATTTAGAAGCAGATGTGAGAATCCATTGTCTTCTATTAAAGTGAGAAATGCAAAGATTAATAAAATTTTGTAAAACAGTGCCATTCTAAAAGTATGTAGAAACCAAAGCTTATTTGATGGGGGGGGGGGGAGACTACTTAATGGGCACTGAATTTATGTTAAGGATGGTGGAATAATTCAGAATTTAATCAGTGTCAATTATACATGTAAAAATGGTTGAATTGGCAAATGTTATGCTTTATGATTAATAAAACTGCCACTCTTATTTTTCTGACAGCTGCTTTTTTAAAAGTCTTTTGTGTTTCTTAGAAACTTATTATCTGTAAATTAATAAATATCTATTTTGGCCATTTTAATTTCTAATATAATAAGGGTCACCAGATACAATGCACACAAAAAATGCTCTTTTGAGACTTTTGTTTTTTTATGAGTGTAATGGGTTCCTGATCCCAAAATGGTTGAGACTGCTGCCTTAGATGAGTGCTTCCCAAAGTGTTTTACAAAGTGTTGCTCATATGACAAGGTACCCCAAAACATTATGAACATGTGGCTACCACCCAAAGCAATTTATCTGAGGGAGTACCCCCCAACTACCCAAGTTATGTATTTATGTTTTTTTTACAAAACAACCTTACTCTCCATTACACTTAATACATTTGTCAAATCTGGGATTCCATTCTTGGAAACATTTTTCAAACTCATCTATTTGGATGGCTGACGGCACCTCTCTTGTTTTTTTTCTTCACCTCATCTATTTGGTCAAATCCCTGTCCTTTCATGTCCTTCATTAGTGGAAATAAAAAGAAGTCTTACAGTGTGAGGTCAGGTGTGGGGCAAGAGAGGCCTGCTGGTTTTTGCTCAGAGGGGTCACTGAGATGGCTGCATGAGCAGGTGCATTGTCGTGGTGGCAAAAATAGTCCCTCTTCTGCCACAAATCAGGTCTTTTTGTCTCACACTGTTACACAATCTTTTCAGAACCTCTAAATCAGACGTCCTCAAACTACAGCCCGCGGGCCACATGTGGCCCACTGAGGACATTTATCTGGCCTGCCAGGTGTTTCTGTCCTTTTTTACTTCAAAATAATGACATAAAAAATTTCAATTTCACTTGACTTTTTTGGGGTGAGGTAATGATGGTGTCTTCCACAAGCATGATTGATGTTTGCTTTTGGGATCATAAGAATAGCACCATGTCTTGTTACCAATGAGACCTTGGAAAAAATGTCTGGGTCACTTCAGAGCTGTTCTTTCAAAGCACGGCATGTTTCCACTCAATGCTCCTTAAGCTGGTCAGTCAGAACCTGAGGCACAAATTTCGCAGCGACTCTTCTGATTCTCAAAATTTCTGTTAAAATTCAGTGATTCCAAGATAGTCCCAGATAACTTTCCCATCTCTTCAATGGTCTGTCATCAATCTTCAAGCACAAATGCATGAATTTTGTCTATATTTTCATCTATTTGGAAGTTGACAGACATCATACACTTGAGTTTTTCCCATAGCGCAGTCCTTGTAAGTTGTGTTCAACATCAGAATAGTTTCTGAGGCATTTTTCTAGAGCAGGAAACAAAATTTCACAGCCATACACTGCTCTCGTAAATCAGCCATCACAAAAAATGAGGTTCAAGCTAAACTGCTTTTATGAAAAAATTCACTGTGACCAGAGAACTTTCCCAGGTGACACCACTGGATGCACTAACTCAGAGTGGGTTGCTTAAGCTCACCTAGTGGGAAAAATGCTTACTATGGGGGGAAAAAAATACTATGAAAGTTCCACTCCAGTTTTTTTTTTTTTTGGGTATCCCCTCGTAAAACATTCAGTAGCCAATGTGTTTGAAAGACAATAGCTTAAATAAATGTAAATTGTTTGTTTACCATATGACTCCTCAGAAAGGTCAATACATGAAATAAAGCACGAGAGGATACCGTGAGCAATGTTTTCCAAACAGGGCCCATCTGACCAAGCTTTCTTAGGACGTGTACAGGGGAACCCCTGGATAATGCTGCTGGAGGAGAGACCAGGCTCTGGAAGGGGCCCTGGGGGAAACACTGTTGGTGTGCAGGGATGTGGACATGTTCTCTGCCTGGGGCTTGTCTACACGTAGCATCCACCCAAGTACCAGAATGAGCCGACAAATACAGACTGTTACCTGTTGGCCCGTTTCAGGTCATTAACGAACTCTGCTGACTGCTGGTGTCTAATCTCGCTGCTCTTGGTGAGTCTTTCCAAGGCGCTCACCAGCTCTTGAACTCTGGACTTCAACTTCTTTTCTCTGCATCAAGGAGAGACAACCCAAGCTGAGTAACTTGAGATGCTGGTGGGGGTGGCCCCTGGATGGTGGGGAGGAGGGGGTGGGGAGTGGGTTTAACTTGCCAAGTCCAAAGGCAAAAGTATGAAAAAGAAACTACTCAAAGACCAAGAGCGGCACTGGCCTCTCAGCAGGAACACCTTACCCCACTTCATTCTCAAAGGCCACCTGAGCCTGTTCCTTTAGAAATGTGGTCATGTCAAAAAGGAACAAGTCAGGAATTTCTGTTATTACTCTTCCAGATGGGAGACAAGCTAATCTTTGGAAGTTACTGTATGTTGTTGGCATACGGACCCTCAGCAGGCTGCCCACAAACCCCGGTCTCCCCGCTTCCCCAAGACGCCCAAGCACGAGCCCCGCAGAGGTGCCGGAATGCCATCTGCCCGCTTGTGCTGCCCACCCAGACCCACCCAGACGCAGTTAAGATCCTTGAGACCACACTGAGCCTGCCCGGCTCAAGCCACACAAAGAGGTGGTAATAGAGGAAGTGACACTACGTTCCTCATTTTTAAAATTCTTGTTTCCCTTTAAGGAATTTGCACCCTCATATGATAATTCTCACTCTGGGCAACAGAACCCTTGATAACTTATAATTATTATTTTGTCATGTCTTACACCGTCCGACATCTCCATTCACCCACTTTTCTGTTGTCCGTCCCCAAGGGAGGAGGTTATGTGTAGATCCTTGAAATCGGTTCCCCCTTTCCACCCCACCTTCCCTCCACCCTCCCCGGTATCGCTACTTTTCAGCACATTTTTTATGCAGTTTTTGTGGTAAAATTAGGTAGGTTGGCTTATACTCCAGTATATATGTTAATCAAGGGGTACATACTATGTAAATGCCTTGCAATTGTTTGTAAAAAGTGACTGACATTCATGAGGTTTAGAGGGGCAACGGATATAAATGAAAAAGATCATTTTTAGGAGTATAGCGTTTTGCCCAGGAGCCTGGTAGTGTAGTAGTTATGTGTTAGGCAAGGTCTTAAGTTTGAAACCACCAGTTGCTCCCAGGGAGAAAGAAAGGTTTTTCTACTCCTATAAACAGTTAGTCTTGGAAATCCACAAGCAGTTCTAACCCTATCCTATAGGGTCACTATGGGTCAGAACCAACTCCATGGTAGAGAGACAGAGACCTTTGCTGTGGGGTTAATTCTGACTCAGAGTGACCCACAGGACAGAGCAGAACTGCTTCCTAGGGTTTCTAAGGCTGTAAAGCCTTATGGAAGCAGACCGCCTCATCTTTCTCGTGGGGGCCACTGGGAGGTTTGCACCCACCAACCTTGTGCCTAGCAGTCCAATGCTTGTGCCACCAGGACCCCTTATTTGAACACATACAACTGAAAATTCACACTAAAAACGGACTCCACTGGCGGGAATCTCCATGGTGGTGAACGCTGCCCACAGGAGGGGTGTGGGGTACATTCATTTTGTACTTCACTCTTTCACACTGCTTGGGATGTTTGCAACTTTGTGATTTTCTAAGCTGGTTTGTGAGATAGGCTCTTGTTAGGAAGACCATGTGCAGGTGGCTTGGGCCAGCAGAAACGTTTCTGCCAGGAGGCGCAGTGGTGCAGGCCCTGGCTCTCCTGGGCCTTCAAACAGCTAGTCTTCCGGCCCTTAGTCACCACGGGGGCAAGGCAGTCTCTGATTAATCAAGAAAGGAAACAATGCAGAAATCCACACCAGGGTGAGGATGGCAGGGGCCGGGGAACCTAGCAACCAGCCTGGTCTCCCTGACTCAGTTGACGGTATCCTCCCACCCTTACTGGGTCTAGCCCCAGCGCCAAGCAGGAGGAACAGACCGGCAGAGCTTCTAGTGAAAGTGGCCCCCACTTGCTGTGGAGGCACTGCTCTCAGTGATCTGCAGTCAGCTCACGCCTGGCTGCAGTTCCCACAGGATCCCAGAGGGGCAGCATTTCCCACCAGAAGTGAGAATGGCATCTTGGACTAAGCAACTCACTCACCCCACCCCCCAGTCCCCAGCCTCTTCTCAGCCTAGTGAGCAGACCTTGGTGGCTGCGGGAGGAAACAGATTTCAGACTCACTTCCACGGAGTCTATTCCGACCCATAGGGCCATAGTGGGCAGGGTAGAACTGTCCCCGTGGGTTTCCAAGGCTGTATGTCTTTACAGGAGCAGAATGGCAGGAGGGTTTGAACTGCTGACCTTGCAGTTAGTAGCCCAGAGGGTAACCCTGCTAAAAAGAAAAGGGAGGCTTCTTTGTTCTGTAGGAATCCTGAGTGGCTGAGCAATTGGCTACTAAGTGAAAGGTTGATTCAAACCCATCCAAAGGCATCTTTGCAAGAAAGGCCTAGTGATTGAAGCCGGGCGAGCATAGCTCTGCTCCGCACACCTGGCTCACTCCCGAGCTGGAATCAGCTCAAAAGGCAGCCGGTTTGGTATGGTTAAAATTTTGATGCTGTTTTGATGACTTTTCTGTATCATTGTAAAGTTGAAAACAGGAAAGAATTGAACATGTATCCATTAAGCCAATAGGAAATTCTCACACACACACACACAAATTACCCAGAGCAATACCACCTCCTCCCTCCCCCATCCAGTTGTAATAACCACATCTCCAAGACTGGGAGGGAACCGAAACCCAGGGTGACACAAAGGCATCTAGGGCCTAATGGGACCGGATGCAACCTTCTGAACCTAGCAGGCTCCAAAGGAGGTCAGAACCCCAGAGGACAGGACTTGTCCCAGACCTGCCATCCCGGTTAGGGGTGGCTGCTCTCTGCTGAGAGCTTAGAGCTGGCCCAAGAATGTCTCAGGCCTCAGGAAGGGAGGTGGAAGAGAATTTATGGCAATCCCCCCCCCACCCCAAGAAAAGAACGAGGTTGATTTACTCAAGGATATAGGCACATGGCCAAACCTCAGACTTGAACCTAAATCTGGACTATTTTACCTGTTTCATTTCAGGGAGATGGGCACCTGCAGTAAAGAAACCACTTACCCGACTCCAATATGCTAACCCCCAGCAAGGTCACGGCCTCTCCCCACTGTGCCTCAGGCAGCAGCCACTAGCCCCTAGCTCTGGTAGAGCCAAACTGAGATATGCTCTAAGTATAAACAAACACTGGAAGTGGAAAATTTACTACATGGAAAACATTTAAAGGAAACCCCCAGCTGCTCCAAGGAAGACAGATGAGACCGTCCCACCCCATAGTCACAGCCGCCGAAACGAGGAGGGCAGTGGACTCGGTCCTGTAGGGTCGCTGTGAGTCAATCATGTGATGGCAGCGGAGTTTGGGTTGGTTAAACCTCTATTCAACTGGGCTGTTCTTGGGCCCATTTCAGATGATCAGTTTGGGTGGAGGCATTGAGTGGATAGTGTCCCAGGTGGTCTTTGTCCTCAGGCACATCTGAGGCTCTTCATCTGGGTGATGAGCTCCCTGTCCTGGGAAGGTCAGGGCACGTTCACATGCACAGCTGTTTGCCGCAAGTCCACAGCATGTATCAGATCCTTAAAGGACGACTGAGAAAAGCCATGACCTACACCTGCTCCTCAAAGCCGTTCCTAAAATGACCAATAGGGTCTCCACCGCTCACCGCTCCTTCGAGGTCCTAACTCTAATTGGCTTTCAGGTAAGAAAGAATCTATGTGGTTTATGCAAATAAGGTTAAAACGAGAACTTTCCGAGGCTGTACACAGAAGAGAAAATAAAAATTCAAGAGCGTACTTTCCACTTGCCCATTCTCCAACAACGCATTTATAAAGGCAGTCTCGAATCGAGACTGTATCCAGATCTCCATCCGCCCTTGTCCCAGTAGTCTCAACGACTCACTCCCAGCCAGGGGTCAATTCTGAGGCCTAGCGGCCCGATAGGAAAGGGTAGAGCTTCCCGTGGGGTTCCAAGTGTAAATCCCCATTCGCACTAGCATAGGCACTCGGAAACAGAATCCAGCTGCACGAAATACAAACACAACTGGGAGGGGGAGGGAAGGGGGAGGGGGAAAATAAGCAAATGAGGGCTAAAGTAGAGGGCAAATGTTTTGAGATTGATGAGGGCAACAGGTGTACATATGTGCTCGACTCAATGGATGTACGTATGGACTGTGATAAGAATTGTACGAGCCCTCAATAAAATAATTTAAAAACAAAACAAAACAAAAACACAACTGGGGGAGTCCAGCAGTGCCATGGAAACCCAGGTCATGACGCAGCACGCGTGTGTTCCCGTGCCAAGGTTTTCCACCCCAGCATGCCCACGGCTCCCTGGAAACGAGGCTGTTTCCACTCCGAAGGTCCTCTGGATTTTAGTCTGACCATACTGGCCAGGAAGGACGTTTCCCTCTTTCTTTTTACAAAATTGAAACAATCTTAAACGGGACCGGGCGTGAAAACACACTGAAATGTGAGTCTCCGTGCAGTAAGTGTAGTAGGCTGGGCGGGAGACTGAGGGAGCTAGGTGAGCACGGGAGGCCTTGCCCGGAAAGATGGCATTTGAGTGATCACCGAAGAAACCGTATTTTCCCGGAACTTCAAAGACAAGCAGCAGCACTCTGTGATCAAGGCGAGCCCGGCTAGAAGGAAGTAGTAAGTGGCCTTGCTGCTGGGCCGGAACCTTTCCAGGAGCTGTAATCAGACGGAACCAGGGGGAGTCCCAGCCAGGTAGTCACAGACCTGGAATGCCTCCGTAATCACTAATTACACTGAATTAGCCGCTAGTCCTTGAAAGAATTGTCTGCACATGCAGTTTGCCTCTTTTTCACCCTTCAGCCCCGGTCAGCCTCCCGTCTGTCTCCACTGAAACTGCTGGCCAAGGTCATCAGTGGTCACCACACTGGTCACTTTGTCCTCATCTCGCTTGACCCATCAGCACCTGCTCACAGAGGCGACCGGTCCACTCCATGCCACGAGCTTCTGGACGCCGGCTTTATGACGCAGGAGCGTCTGCATTGCATGTGCTCTACTGACTATGGTTCCTGTTGCCTCTACATGTCCTGTGTCATCTTTTA